CGTTTGCTGTAAGAATATCAAGATTATTGTCATTATCGACATCTTTTACTACTACACAAGCTGCACCAGTACCCATTGAATAAGTTATTTCACTAAAAAACTTTGGAATGTCAGTTACATGTGTTCCATCGCAGTAGCAATCATTATCACACTATTGTAATTTATGATCATATTATATCTTTTACTTGATACATCAGAATATAATTAACATTTTATACAATCGCATCTTTTTTGTAAATGTTTGTTGTTGAATGAAAATAAATAGTAATGATCGTGATGCTTTCAAAATGATTGATTGTACGAATTAAAACTGAAATGAAAAGTAATTCTTGAGAATAAATTCATTATGCTCTTTCTGATTTTAAGAATCGAACGACGTCATTTTGTTTCTGTTATGATCAAAGAAGAAGAAATATTACTTGGTATTTTCTCTTTTCCTCGCTTCTTTCGTTTCAATATTATATTAAACACATGACTAACGTCAATTTATTTTATGGAATGACAAATTCTTGATGGAAAATCCTAGTGGCGAATCAACAGAGTCCGCAAAAAGGTAGAAAATATTTCGTCAGAATAAGTTCTCTTCTTTCAAAATATAAAAAGAAAATCATACAATATACTTATGAGAAGGATACTAATATGATCAATGTACGTAAAGAGAAAAGTTCATTTAAAAATATTATTTATTTTCCGCAAACAATCTGTTGTTCATATGAATATTCAGAAACTGAAACCAATACATTCTCTATTTGTGAAAGTAGTTATTATATTTTCCACAAGGGTGTGTTTGAATGAAGGAAGTATTCATAGCTAACGTCACTCTTACCCAGGTAAATTTATTAAATAACAAAGAATACGGAAAATTCTGCTTTCAAGCTGTTTTATCCGGCACAAATAATTAATTATCATCACGTTTAGTTTTCAGACCAACGACTAGAAAAGAGAAGTACTGAAAAAAATAAAGATGTTTTTAGATATTTTTCTTTATAACTGTATTCAATTATTATCACAAAACGTCTCATAACTTCGTCCTAAAAGCACGCGCAGTACGAGAATTGTCGGAGTTAGTCCACTATTTTCGCATCTTCAAATTTGACTGACGTGAATATAAGGGAATACATGATTAAAACAGGAGCCAAGGAAAAATTGTATGAATAAGTATATTGTGTCGGTATCGTCTGTCATGATGGAGATAATATTGACTATGATTGTATTCCGATGATTATGTATATACAATATTCTACAAGAAAAAATTCATTCAAAGTATTTTCTATTTCACATCAGAGAACTATCATTTATGTTAAAAGAATATATAGATTTTGAGTATTCAAAATGTGCGTTCTTGATGAGATCGATCGGCGAATTCGTCCGTTAATTAGATAACTTTGCTCATATTGAAACGAAACATGATCAAAGAATTCCACAAAAGAATAAGAAGTGTCGCAAGTGATCTTAAGTTTTACTCAACATTCGATGATCACGCTCTACGAAAAGAATAAAACAGTAGCAGATATTCAAATAGCATTTTCTTTTTCATACAAATTGCCTTCGAAATGTTACACGTAGATCTAACAAAAATACATGTTTCATTTATGGCTTTTCATCTTGGTGTTCTATACTCCTATCACCACTACATTTGCTACATTACCAACGTTATATTGACGTTATCAAAATAAAATCTAACTCTAATGTTATAGATTCTAAAACAAATGAGATTTCTTTAGTTATGAATCATGAATTACCTATGTCATTAGTGTTTTCAATGTTAGAAGATTAGAAATTCTACACAGGTGAAATCATAAAATATCTCCGTAGATATACTGGAATACATACAAGAATTGAACAAGATTTTGATTAGTTTTTTCATAATTATGTTCGAAGATGTGATGTTGTGGTTTCTCTTCACTGAACTCATGATAGTGCTTTTTCTTTTTAACTCATCTGCGATAGTTTTCATAATATAACTAAAATTCATTATTAGTTATTATTGCTTCAATGATTTGAGAGAAAAAAGAGAAGTTTTTATCTTATCTCCAAAATAGATCATAGAGTACAGTGATGAATGAGTGATTTATCATTTAACCATGTCTGTATTTAATCAAATGCAAATTTGTCTCTTCAAGAACCAAAGAAACTAAACACAAAAGAATATATTTCATTACAGAGCATACATTACTCATTTTTCAATGGTGTTCAACATCAAAGATCGTTTATGGCAAACATTTCTTCGTTTAGATCTTTTCAAAAAGCCGTCGAGTACTGAACAAACACTTCAAAAAGAATTGATTGCAACTCGTTTCTACGTATGTTCATTGATTATATCTTTGATTATACTTACAATTATTACTGCATTTACTGTTCGAACAATTGAAAGTACCGAATCTCGACCATCTTATAAACAATTTATACAACTAGCAGAACAATATCCCAATACTTTGAATTGTCCATGTTCAAAATATGCAATTAATTATCAAACATTTATTACAACTCAAGTCAAATTTCATCAAGTTTGTTCAAGTCAATTCATCGAACAGAAATGGTTTGAGATGCTATTCACAAACCAAAACATTTCAATGCAATCGACAGATGATTTTCGTATTACTTTGACTTTCTTTTGGCAAATTATTGGAGGATTATGTAATTCCAGTCGAAAAAGTTGGGAGAATGCAATTGCAAATTTCCAATCATCACATATTCTCAGTCCAACAGCAACTCTTGAAGAAACTCTTCGGATACAGAGTCAGACAGAATTTCAAAATCAGATTCAACTATCTCAAACAACATTGGCTCGTAATTTACTTGCTATTCGTCGAATGACAAGTGGAAATGAGATTGTGTCGGGTTTACAAACAAATTTCTATCTAAAAATGCTATCAAGAAATGATATTCAAGCGAGTCCACGAGTGTTTAATAATTGTTCTTGTACGAATATTAAAGGTTGTCCACGACCTGCAACATTTTCTGATGAATATGATCATTTCGTAACTATTCCAGGAATGATTATGGATTGTTTAATGGTTGATGCAACACTTGCTTCAACACTCGAATGTTATTATAATGAAACATGTATTTCTCTTTTACATTCATCATCACCTATTCATATTCGACCATTATCAAATGCTACGCTAACACGTTTTCCTTGGAATGCAACAATTCAAACATTGTTAAATGAATTAATGATCGAAGAAATGAAAAATGACATAAGATTTGATTTGTATTATTCACAATGTGCACCTCAATATTGTTCATATTCATATACACGCCGTTTTTATCTCATTTTTATTATTACAATGATTATTGGTGTTGTTCGTGGGTTATCATTTGGATTACGATTTCTTGCTCTTATAGTTGCAAAAGTTATCTTACATCGAAAAAATCGCATTGTGCCTCATGCGAATGTATCACAAATTGACACGTCACATCAAAACCTAGGTAGAATATGGAGTAGTACTCGACAGATGTCTAAATACAGTAGAGAAAAACTGGCTTCTTTGAATGTCTTTGAAGACTTTGTTCCACGTACTCCTAGGAGAATCTCTCGTGAACGAGTATTAACAAAACTCTTCATGATTGTTCTTCTTCTCTCTTCGTTTGGCATTGCTCTTTATGTTATTCTCACTGAATATCCTCATTTAACAACACTACAAAATCCATCCCTCACTCTCTACGAACAATTGTATGAAGATTATTCTGATACATTACAATGTCCTTGTTCACACATATCAGTTCCGTACAAGTCATTCATGAATGTTTCGTTTATTCTACATCAAGTTTGTTCCAGTGATCTAGTTTCATCTGACTGGTTATCATATTTGGCAGTATTTGATCCAGCAACTGCCATATCTCAATCATCTTTGATTGATGGTACGCGTGATTTTCGAACAATGGGAGTTAGTTATTTTCAATTTTTATCAACTTTCTGTTCAATGGTTCAAACAAATATCGATGATGCACAACGTGTTTTTAGGAACACTCCATTTGTCAATGATCGTGTTCTATCTCGATCAGTTTTCAATACAAAAACTCAACCAATAATCGATTCTTTTATCGACACAACTCGTAATAATTTCATACGTACCATTGATTGGGTAAAGATTGGATTTACTGCCGGTCGATTCTTCAACGGTGCAAACGTTATTTACGAGATGAAGATTAATGTCAATAATCAATTAGATATTGCATTTGCTTCATATCCTCAATATTCTGAATTTACAGCCACATAGATGTTTGCTACACAAGTGTGTTCATGTGCATTCGAATATATGACATGTTTTCTTATTCCACTTATATTTATAAATGCATCCTATTATGATGAATTTCCTTTGACATCATTGTATGGCGTGGTGAACGTAGGTTGTGAACCTTTACTTGGATTTTTATATTCAGAAACTCATTGGTGGTACGATGTAACATATATCGAATTTATTCAAGAAACTTATTCGCTTGTTATTAATTCAACATCTCCACGAAATATTAAACCTCTTAACTCATCTATTTTCAGTCGATTTGGTAGTATTAACGCGTATGATTTAGTACGTGAACTATTTTTAGAAGAATCAAGTAGTAATAATACGCATTTCGATCAGTTTTATAATAAATGTGCACCGAATTCTTGTTCATACATCAGAGTACAACGACGAGATGTTATCACATCATTCCTTCTTCTTATTGCTATATGTAGTGGTTTGCATAGGATCTTGCGACGACTTATATCATTGTCCGGTAAAGTTGTATTCTATTGTATTGATTGGTGGAACGAACATCATGCTCATCGACAGAGTGAGTTGTTTTGCATTGAAAAAAGCTAATTATGATAAAAGAACATTTTCTTTTCAGTGATTTCGTTCTGTGATTATTTGAAACAGATTTTAAAAAATATTCATAAATCAATAAAAACCCTGAACTTGTTTCGATCAGAATTAAATGATGAAATATCAATTCATCAACAGAAAATCTACACACGAATCTATTTACTTCTTTATATCACATCACTTGGAATATTATTATTTCTTACAGCTATTACTCAACATAGTATAAGAAAAACATATCCTGTATCCTCAATTGTGGACTATGAACAATTATTGATCAATTTTAAAAGAGAAAATATTGATTGTCCTTGTTCACTGATATCTATTCCATATGGTGAGATCATCACTGAATTACAAGTAAACAGATTCCACGAAGCATGTTCAAGAGATATAATCCGGTCAATTTTCTTTGCCGGTAAATAGATGTGAGTTGATACGTGTACATCAAAAGTTTTTATTTAGGGACAGAGCCAATAGAAGGACAGACACCTGCTAATACAAATAATTTTTGGATTTTTAGAAGATTCTTTATTGATTCGCTAAATTTACTTTGTGCATTGGCACAACATAGTGTTGAGAACAGTATTGATGTTTTTCTTACATCAATGATGTTATCAAATCAATTACAATCATCAACTGAATTTTATCATGACATCAACAATACAATAATTCAATTCCAAAAAAAAATACTCATTAATTTTGGTCAAACATTAGATCTAATTCGTATGAGTGTACACGGAAATGCTTTATTAGCATTGTTTTCATTAAATTGGAATATAATCTACGATGAAAATATTTCTGCATTTGTCAATGTCCCTGTTATTCATCATGAGATAAAAGAAAATACAAGCTGTTCTTGCGCTACTTTACAAACATGTACAATGCCAGTACAAATCCATATTTCTGATGAATTAGTTAACGTTGAAGGTTTGGTATTAGGTTGTCATTTGTTGGAAACAGTTTTACTTTCATCATTATCATGTTTTTATTCTCCAATTTGTATTCAGAATATTCGAAACGAATTTTGGGCCGCTTTTATTATTGATGCAGATACTCGTTTGCATGATTCATTGACACGGTTCAATGTTAATGATACAATTGAAACACTCGCATATGAAATGTTTATCGAATCTTGGACGAATAATGTTTCATATGAAAAATATTATAGAAATTGTTTACCAAATCATTGTATCTATACATATTACTATCAGTTTGATGCCATGGAGTTGTTAACAACATTTTTAAGTGTGTTTGCTGGTTTATCCGCTGGAATTCGAGTTGTTGTTCCATATCTTTTGCGATTATTTCAAAGTATTCGAAATTATTTTCATAATACACGTCAATAAAATACGAGGAGCAGAAAGAGAATAAAATAAAGTCTATGGGAGGAGTAAATCATGTTTCGCATTTATGACGTGTAGAAATGAATGAAAAAAACCATCCTATCACTGTAATCGTTGTCTTGCACAAGTTTTTCGAAAGTAAAACGTTATCAACATCTTTCTGTAACGTATTTAAGCTTCAAGGATCAATCAGACGCATCATTGTTTTCTATTCATTCTTATGTCGAAAGCAGTTGTCTTATCGTTAACATCAATTCCAAAAGAGCTCATCTATCGAATTCTCGATAAAATGACTCCAGAAGAAATCATGATAAGTCTAGGGAATGTCTGCCAGAGGCTAAATAACATCATAGATACCTATCCGCGATAGCAGGTAGAATTTATTAAATGTGTGTTAATCAAACTGGCATATAGATACTCTAGAAATTCAATCGTATATTCTTGAAAGCGGGAGACATGGATCCTGATACATTCGAAGCATTAGCTAATGGTCTGAAATCTAACAAAGTAAGTCATCATATTTGAATAGACAGTGACGAAGGTCGAATTCAGAGGTGATCATATAGGCACAGACGGTGCCAAAATGTTGGCTGAAGTGTTAATGGTTAACCGAGTATGTTGTATTACATGATCTCACTGATAATTTAGTTTTAATCTAGACAATAACTATCATTGATATTAGAACGAACCGTTTCGATGCTGGCGGAGTGAGAGCGTTGGGTAATTCACTGAGATTCAATCAGGTATATTGTCCACGATTAGCAATCATTTATGTTTCAAGGGTGTAACCGAAGTCGAACTTAATACAAATAAAGCCGGTGGCGAAGGTGCTGAAGCATTTTTTTGTGCACTGCAAACCATCAGGGTACTTTTGATTTCTGAAAGTGACGATAATCAATCATAACGGGTAGACGGCTTTTAGACAATTCAGAAATTGGCACTACGTCGCTATGATATCACATCATCCAGTGCTCGCATGTTGGTAGATGCGCTGAAAGTGAATAAGGTTTACTACATCATTTGCTGAACTAAGATAGAAGCATAATTTAATTCTTATCTTCTTGAAGACATTGACTGAACTGCGTTTGCAGGTGAATTTTCTACGCGACGGCGGCACACAACAATTAGCGGAAGCATTAAAGGTGAACAATGTATGTTATAATCATTTATGAACTCAGACCGCGCTCAATTTTCTTGTTATCAATACAGATACTCACAACATTGAAGTTTTACTATAATTTTATCGGGTCAGAAGGAATGAAAGCCATAGCAGAAGCGTTGAAAGTCAACAGAGTATGTTACAAATTGTGTCATAGATATTCACTAGAGTTCATGATTTATATTATTTGTATAGAAACTGACATCGATTCATATTCTTTGGAGTCGTACTGACGAATCGGGTATTGTAGCACTAGCTGAAGCGTTGAAACTTAACAACCTAATCTTTCACTATTAAAATTTCATTTCTTATCGATCAAATTTCAATATCTTCTCATAGGGATTAAAAAGCATAGAACTAGAAAATTCTCGAATTTCACAGACAGGTATTCAAGCTCGTGCTGAAGCGCTTACTGTCAACAACGTATATCCTCAATACCTCCTAAAATTATTAAAGTAACACAGGCTCTTGGTTTTTCTAGACACTGACAGACCTATCTCTCGAAAGCAATGGCATAGGTACAGAAGGGGCTAAGGCCTTAGCTGAAGCATCCGTTTGTTTCGAAATGGACTATCATTTTCCATGATAATACTTCTTTCAGATTGATTTCAGAAGGAGTAAATATTGTGTATTGAAATGAATAAAAATCAAACTTTATTATTCGTTTGAATTATATCATTATTATCATTATCGGGTGTTGCATTAGTCTTGTTTATATATATATATATATATATATATATATATATATTAATATCAAAATGAGACAAGAATTTCTCGATATTGAAAAACAGATACTCGCATTTTATGAAAGAAAAACTACGTATAGCATATGAATGAGTTAATCTTTATATATCTCTGTATATAATGCAAACCATTTTGTTTATATATACATAGAATGTACTTTTTTTATCAGTAGGATGAATAAATTGTAGTAATAATGTTTTCTTTTGTATAATGAATGTTCAAATATGCATTTTTCACTGTATTCGAATTCAAAATAAGATTGTATACCACGAACATGATGCTATTTATTCGTCTCTATACATAAAATACAAAGTACTTGCGTGTGGGATATGTTCTTTTTTTTGCTCAGGTGAGTGTATGAAAATATTTTGTGATAAAACGAAAAAGAATCAAGTTTATCAATGGATCGAGTAACTTTCGGAAGTTACGTACAGTGCAGACAATGAAGTTTCTTTTTCATATGAATACTTTTATAAATGAATATTTCGTTGGCATATATATGGAAATTTTATTATTAAAATATTATTTGAGAGAGGTTTTTGCCTAGACCTTCTTTAAGACGTTTTACACCATGTGTACTGAAGCCGCAATTTCTCATTCCAATTTTCTGTAATGATTGAGTATTATTGAGCATATTGATTATAACATCAACAGATGCATCCGTTATCGAATTCATGGAATCCATATATAAATAGTCAAGACTTGTTTTGTGTTGAGTGAATACACGTGCTAATTCTTTTACACCTTGATCACCAAATGGATTTTCAAAAATACCGAGAGCTTTTAATGTCCTGTTGTTTATTAGCATCTGAGCTAAATAATACACACCTTGATCAGTAAGGTTAATATTGCCAAGATATAATTTCTCAATATTTGTGTTATCCATAGCAAAGAATTCTGCTAATAAACGAACGCCAGTATCACCTATTGGATTGTGATTGAGATTCAATTTTGTCATTGATGTATTATTATATAAACCATGTATTAAAATTGGTATAGAAAGATCACTAAACATGTTCCCTTTAAGTTCAAGTACAGTACATTGACAATCAATAATTGCTTTCTGAACAATAATTCCCATGTCTAAATCAGTCAGTTTTTGTAGACGCAAGTCAATTGGAGAATACTTTGTAAATTGTTTGATTGTCTTTTCTAATTTTTCATTTCGATGACAAATTGAATCTTGAATAATAAAATCAATTTTTTAGATTCTCATTTATTTAAAAAACATCATTTACCTAGCATAAAATTAACTTCTTTCGTTAGTTGTGCAATTGCTGTCGTACCTTCTATGGAACATGCTGATTTTTCACATAGATACTTTTCTTCTTTGAGTGTTTCATTTTCAGAAATCAACTCTGTAAGTATCGTTCGTAATCGTTCATAATCACATGAGACTTTATGAAGTTTTAATTGATTTACTCGTCCTGTCCAAGGACAACGAATATCAGCACCTGAACAAGAAACTAATGTTTTCGGACAAACTTCTTCAAGATGATGATCAAATTGACTTCGTTTAATTCCAGTTTGTTCACAATTTACACATTTTACCAAAAGATCATCAAGCATTTTGCATATGAAAATAACCATAGGAGATAAATCCTTCGACGAGAGTGATTGATTACATTCTGGACAGGACGATTTATTGGAAAGTTTATCGTTAATACATTGCCGACAGAATGCATGTCGACATGGAGTTGAAACCGGATCAATAAAAGGACTCTTACATATTGGACATTTTAAATGTTCATCAATATTTTTGTTCATATATTCGAATTTAAATGATGTGGCCATGATTGAATATAAACTAATTAGTTTAAAAAGAAAGTAATTCTTACGTGAAATGCAAAAGTTTCTTTTGCGTGTCGAGTTTATAACCACAGATGGTGTTGTATTTTTCCCCATCGTGTCTTATATGTTGAAAATAATGATGTCACTGGGTAATAGTGTATTCTGGAATTTTTTCTTGATGTTGATTTTATGTTTTTGCATTCTTTTGTAAAAGGTAAGAATTTTATAACGTAATGCAATTTTTTTCAAAGAAAGAATCGAGCATGGCTAAAGCCGTATGTAAACAAACAGTCTGCAGATGGCATCGAATATAATTGGCCTTTTCAAAAATCTTTGTAAGAAGAACTAACAATCTTTTGAAGGATGAATGATAAAAATTAAGAATTTGCTGTAACACGTCTGCGGACTATCCTGATCACGTTTAATCTCTGAGCAACTAGCAATAAAGACAACCAGGTGGAAATTTTCACTTATGGTCGAAAACCTTCTACTCAATTCATATCCTTTGATGCAGGATATCGAGCTCTATACATTTCAAGTTCCTGAGCAAGTATCAGCGAGAAATACTTGAATTCGCTGCTGACTTTTATTACGTTAGAAATTATATTCAAATACATCGGTGTATTGTGCTTTTTTTTTCACAGATTATTGACTGATAACGAAATCGAATGAATCCAGTAAATGTTCATCTTCCTTCTTGGATGAGAAAATTATAAATCTGTATCTTTCTTTCTCTCTCAGCGAACTACTATATATAAAAATAAAGTACAACAGTAAGACGATATCATTCACATATTTGCTCATATTCATCTATCACCCGCTCTTTCAAGTATCGCATAGTAGCAGATAGCGATGCAGAAAATCATCAGAATGCTTTACTCGATCAGCTTCTTGATGGTGGTAGCAACAATCTGTGTGGCAAAAACGGTGACAAATGCCATTGAGAATAGTAACAACGTTATCAATGATTTTCATGCGAAACGTACTATTTGAGCTGCTTGTCCTCATTCTCGTGGTTGTGCTGTTGATTTTCCTCATTCTTGTCGTTACCGTTGTCCTGTTCGTGCTTGCCTTTCACTTTCATTTCGTTGCCTTCTTCCCAGGTCAATGAAAACGGCCCCGTTTACGGTGTAGTCCGGAGTCAATACGTACCTAATTCGGTCCGTATTGAACCGTATTATCGGGCGCAGAATTACGCATCGAAATGTATTCGTTCAGCAAACTGGCCGTATCTGACGGTTTTTCGAGAAATATTCGGTACAATACGATAGTCCATTTTATACGGTATTCACACCGTTTTGGATTGTAAACAGCCGGATTTATATCCGTTTTTATGTTGAGCTCATTGTCATAACAAATACATTAATTCAACACATTTATATCAATTATCAACATCTTTTCGAGTCCTCTTTTTTCATCTTGAATTTAATATTTTATTGATTTCATATCCGATAACCTTCACAATAAGAAAAGAAACATCAAAATATAAATTTACGAGATAAATATACAATGAAATTTGAAAAAAAAAACAAAGGCATATGCTGCTGTTCATCGCTAATTGAATTCATTATTTCACATATATATGTACATCACTTCTTTTCTTCGTAAGTGAATTACAGAATTTAAGAAGATTTTTATCGTTGATTCATTCTTCGTTATCTGATACACATTGCGATAAACATGGCTGTTGCTGCTGTTGTGTTGGAATTTGTTGCTGTTGTTGTTGTTGTTGAATTGCTTTTCTTCGTTGTTTTCGTGTGCCTTCATTGTATAAACATCCAGCTAATGATTCTTGAATTCTCTCTTTATAGAAGCTACTGTAATGATGTTTACTTATCCGATAACGATGACGAGTTGCTTCTGAAAATGAGTTTTGAAACGTAAAAAATTTTGATATAATTCTTTGTATATGATAGATACATGCATTGGAAAATAAAAGATCTCTTACCATTCAGTAAGTTAAACTTTTCAGAGTCTAATTCAGGTTTGAAGTATCGTTTTGATTGTTGTGATGGTAATAATGATGTTTTTAATTCAAGTTCAGAAAATAACACTTTTAATAGTTTGCGTGCGTATTCAGCAGCACTACTTGCTGCTACTTCAAGTAAATTATTTCCTCGATACATCTAAATGCAAAAGAGATAAACGATGTTTGATGAAAATTTGTTTTTACTACAAATTAACTTACAATTTCTGTTTTGAATTCTTCTGTAACAAGTTCATCTCGATAACGATCAAGAACATGTTCTTGATTCTAAAGAAAATTAATATAGTCTTGTTTTTCTGTAGAAAAAAAATACATTACAGATAAAATTAAAGAACGAAAATGAGATAACTTCTTCGTTAAACTTGATAGTTGTTGTTGAGTATCATGATTTTCTGAACGAACATCTCGTACATTTGTTTGAACATTTTTTATTTCTTCAAGTATATGTTTTATTGAAATCGATGCATTATGATCAGCACTTGCTTCATCATCTGATGAAGATATCACCGGAATAGTTGCTAATGTAAGAGACAATAAAGAAAATGTGAAGAAATTTTTATCACAAAAGATTATTCTTACATTCAAATGAGCGAGTTGGTTTCTTAGACGATAAATCATAACCACGTTGATTAGTTGTATGACTTGAACGGTTATTTGGTGCAAATCGTTTTGGTGAAACAACTAGAAATTATCGCATAGAGAGCAAACATTTACTTGTTATTTTATTTCATCCACATAATCCCTACCAGTTGAGGTCAAGTCAGAAGAACTTGGACGACGTACCAATGGTTTTTGTCGTCGATGTGGAGCAGCTATAATGTTATTTAAAAGTACACCATCGTAAAGGTACGAAGCTATAGGAAAGTACATACGTGTAGAAAATGGATTTGTTGGCATAGTTATTGTTTGTGTTAGAGATTCAGATGTATCATCAATTCCAACATCATCATCATCATCGAGTAATCGATTAATTTCATTTTTATCTAAAATTTACGCCAAAACTACATTATAATAATACGTTTTAGTGAACCGTACCTGTTGATAGACGTGCTTGTTTATTCCACTGTTTAATACATGCATCTTTTGTTCCTAAATTATTGAAGTTTCATATGTATGAAAATTTATTAATTATTTGAACGAAAAAATACCTGATATAATTAATGTTGCTGCTCGACCACCATTCATAATAACTGAATCATCGATTCCAAACCGTTTAATACTTGAATTTCCAACGATCATCATCATCCCATTATCATCATATACAATCAAATGGTACTTCGTTGTTGCAGGCGGATTTGAAGGTGAATATTGCTCTTTAGGTTTTACTGATCGCTTTTGAGCCATTTGAGCCATATTATTTGCCATTAGTTAAGTCGATCGATAATTTTAAAAATCTAGAACAAATATAACAACTTTCATGTTGATAATATTCTATAATTTCAATGAGAAATATGCAGTAATATAATAAAGGAATTTATTCCCTTTTCTGAAAGAAAGGGTTATACAGCGTTAAAATCAGCGGCTCGAAATGCATTAAGTTTGTCTGTCCTATCCAATCAGAATGCAGCATTCAGTAAAATGACAATACTGACCAAGGTGACACTAAAAACTTATCTTCGAGGGTAATTTGGGTCGAGGATCACGAATCCGGTGTTACTTTTTCAAAAGTGTCATTCGCTAATGAGTTAATTAGCTAATTATCTAATTAGTAAACAATTGACAATAATCGTATCGAGTAAGGGTTGACCGAAGGGTAGTCGAGGTCGAGGATCTCGAATCTGAAGTTAGTTTTTGAAAATACTAATTAATTAGTCAGCTAATTAGCTAACTAAATATGCATTAGTGATAATTGTATGCAGTAAGGGTTCACCGAAAAGGTTTTTGGAGCCGCCCGTCATGAATCCGGTGTCAGTTTTTGAAAGTTTTGTTAGAAACCTTTTTATACAATAAACCACCCCTTTCGCAACAATTTTACTCACAAAAGTTTGACACGCCGTCACTGGTTCAAGGAGTTAAAGAAATTTCTGTACTCATTTTTAAGCTGTATCGACGAAGAAACGAAATAATAAAGCCATGCTTATAACGAACGTCTAGGCGTTTGTATAAGAGCCCCAGATGAATTTAGATAAGTAAGGGTAAATAGACTTTTTGAGAAATATCAAGCGAATCGTTCCATCAATATTTGAAGAATGTGCTTATCTTCGCGTTTTCTTTTCAAAAGGTTCGTGAAAATAGTTTGAAATAAATAAAGAGGTTATAAAAAGACAAGTAACGTTCGTCGTCCCGACTCACTTGGCCCTCGACTGTGTAACCATGAATCGTTTTCTGTCTGAACGATGGCAGCACCTAGTCTAGAATCTATCTAGGAAGAAACACAATTCAAATTTTTCTTCTAATTTGAACTATGACTTTTCACACAAAATGCATTTAAATGAATGTTCTCTATTCTCGGAAGACGTCTCACGAGGACCCATGAGTACCACCACTATATAGGACTTCAGGACCCATAGATACCTACACAGTGGGCTACATGAGAACCCTTGGAGGCCGGGAAAATGAGCAACCTAAGGTCTCGAGACTCCGCGAAATCGCGCGATTGAAGGTTTCATGCATATCCTCAAAATGCGCCGCATAAGAAACTATGTATTTTGAGAGATACGGCGTATTGCGATTTATGAATTCACCCACAGTGGGTTACATCAGGATCCATGGGCCCCTCGAAAATGAGCAGTCTGAGGACCCGAAACACTGCGAAACTGCGTGATGGGTACATCCTTGCTCGTCCCTAAAATGCGCCGCATGTAAACCTGTGTTTACCCTTGTCATATTCGCCATCGCGATTTAGGGGTGCACCCACAGTGGGTTGTATGAGGACCTATAGATCCCTGCAAAATGAGGAACCTAAGAATCCGACACGCCGCGAAGCTGCACGATTGGAACATCCATGCATATCCCCAAAATGCGCCGCACAACAAACTATGTATTCACTGAGATATGAGGTATTGCGATATATGAGTGCGCCCACAGTGGGTTACATGAGAACCCATGGACCGCTGGAAAATAAGCATTCTAGGTGCCTTAGACGCCGCGAAATCGTGCTACTGGAACACCCATTGTGAGCTCTCTATCTCCAAATCAAATCCACCATCAAGGAAACGGAGACACTCAACGAGAATAACTACGTTTATTCGAGTTGAAAGAGCAAGTA